GTGAGTGTACACGTCCCTGGGGTTCAGTTCTAAAAGTTTGCTTGGTAGTTTTGGGTGCCGGTTAGCTGCACCCTGCCTGGGACTACCTGAGCGCGAGTCCTATTATAGTAAACGCTCAGGACCCTAGGAATCCCCTGGGGGTGTGTGGGTTTGATGGATGTGACTCCGGAGTTCCCACTCGCTTCATGCAAGTTTGAGGGTTGCTCGATCCCCCTTGACTCGGGGTGACCCTCATTGTTTTTGCCTCCGCCACGCTGCCTGTTGGGTCAGTGACACTTTTGACCCTGAGTCCTGTGAGTGGTGCTGCTTGCTAGTGACTCAATTTACCCAATCCTCTGATGATTCTCTTCAGGTACAGGCGGCGTAAGCGTTGCAAGCTAGGTTTCATCTGTTGCAATGCACTCGGTTGGTTGCTCACTTGGATGCCCCGAGGCTGCCCCGCTTTGCTTTTTGAGACCCGGACTTGGGGGGTGGGAGTCGCTTCGATCCTGGTTCAGTCCGCACCGCCTCGTCCTTTCCCTCCAGTTGTTCGTTTTGGTCCCCCTCCCCCCCCCCCCCTGCTTCCGGCCCCGAAACGTTTGAGGGTTTCGGAGTCGGGGCAGGGGTTCCTTGATTGCAAGACTCGAGCAGCTTTAGGGGATGCCCCTTCCGGGGGGCGGTGGAGGCTTTCGAGTCTTGTCTCCCGGCCAAAACTTCTGGGTCTGACCAGTGGGCCCCCCTTCCTTCTAGCTTCTGCAGCTGCACCATCCTTGTCTTGTGGGGTTGGTGCTTGGGGAGATGACTCAGCCCCGGGTCCTGCTGTGGAGGACCTAGGGGCTGGGGAGGGGCTGACTTGGGGGTCTTGGGCCCCGCCTGGGTTTTTCTTCCCTCTGAGCGGGGCTTACTGCTACAAGGAGTGGGGTTTTCTTTTTCCCCTCTCTGTGTACGAGTTGGATTTGGTGTCGGCCCCTCCCCGGGTTCAGTTCTGTGTTCCCCCAGGTGCATCGGTTCCGTCTTTCCGGAGGTTTTCGGCTTATCGCATCCAACCTGGTGTGATGTGGGCCCTTGCAGCATACCTCCTGCGTGACCCGTATTATGCCTCGGAGATGGATCCCTCAGAATTCAGGTTTGGGACTTCGTTCCCTTTCTGGCTCCGTTACGAGGTTCCGGAGTCTTCCTGGCTAGCGGACTGCCCCCTTGTTTGTTCTGGATGCCTGGCATTCCTTCTGTTGTTCCCGCACGCTGGAGTGGTGGGAAGCTTCCACGGTGGTTTAGGTTTTCCTGGGGGGGCGATCTTGAGTACCTGAACGAGTGCTTGTTTGCCCCTGCCCTTCCATGTGATGTTGGTGTTGTTCAGCTCCATGTGCAGATTCCCTCCCTTTCGGCGGTGCTTGTTGTGGAGGACTTGCGCGCCCGGGAACCTTTGGCTTCGGCCTAGCGGTTCTTTTCCCTCCTGGAGCTGCCCTCGGATTGGCTTGTGGAGGATGTTAGGGCACTTGGGTCCATCCCGGGGTCCGGCGCCTTGTCCTCGGCGGCTCGTTTGTCGACAGCTTGTTCGTCAGCGGCCTTGTTGAAGCTTTTCGCGCCGATTTTGCGGGATGCGGTTTTCCTGTTCTATGCTTCCTGAATCGCGTGACGGCAGGCGGTGCTGGGTTCCTCTGTAGAATCTGCTTGGGCTCTGGCTCTTTGGTTGTCATCGCCTTTTTGTCCTCTGCTGTTTAAGGCATCTACTGTTTGAGGCATCTGCCGTAGCGCAGTTCATCCAGGATGCTTCGTCTGCTTGTCGTCCGATGTCAGATTTGCTGGTTCTCCAGGGGTCCCGTGGGGAGTCTTCCCGGAGGGGTCGTTCCAGGGCTCGGGGTTTCTCTCGTCGTGGTAGGCCACTGGTGTCAGGTTCGGCTCCTTCTTCGGTCCTGTCCTCGTCTTGGCGGTGCGGTGATCGCTCTGCATGGGGTTCTGGGTCACGTAAGGGGCACCGGCCCTTTCGCAGTTTGCCCCATTGACAGGGCGATGGGGGAGGCTTGCGCTGTTTGCGCACGCCTGGTCCCATGATTCATGGGCCTTTCAGGACCGTCATCTTATGCCTAACACTGTCGCCTCGTATTGTGCGGCGCTGACGGTGCCGCTTCAGCTTGCTTTTGGTATCGATGTTACGTCTGTGCCGTTTCGCAAGCTGTCTCGTGCGTTGTTTCACCTCCGGCCTGCTCATGCGCCGCCTGAGTTGTCCTGGTCTTTGGACAGAGTGCTCGCTTACCTCTCATCTCCTTATTTCGTCGTGGCCCCTTCGGTCCAGGATTGTTTCTCCAAGGCTCTTTTTCCTGTTGGCATTGGCCTCTGGGGGTCGGATCGGGGAGCTTCATGCTCTCCTCCGACGCAGGGGTTTCTGCTCTTTTGGTCGTGGCGATCGTTTTGTTCGTCTGCAGCCATCTCCTTCTTTTCTGGTGAAGAATGAGACTGCTGCGTTCTGGAGGGGTCCGTGGGTGGTTGATGCTTGGTTGGTACGGCCGGGGGTGCATCATACTTTGTGTTTGGTTGCGGCGCTTCGCCGTTATTTGCACGCCACGGCTTCTGTGTCCGGGGGACGCGCTTTGGGTTGATCCGGTTTCCCTTCTTCCCTGTTCGCAGGTTCGGGTCGCCCAGGTCAGGCGCAGATTTTTTGCCGGTAAACAGAGGCACAGTGCAGGGAATAAACAGGGGGGCACAGTGCAGGGGGTTAAACAGGGGCACAGTGCAGAGGGTTAAACAGGGGCACAGTGCAGAGGGTTAAACAGGGGCACAATGCAGGGGTTAAACAGGGACACAGTGCAGGGAATAAACAGGGGGGCACAGTGCAGGGGGTTAAACAGGGGCACAGTGCAGGGAATAAACAGGGGGGCACAGTGCAGGGGGTTAAACAGGGGCACAATGCAGGGGTTAAACAGGGACACAGTGCAGGGGGTTAAACAGGGGCACAATGCAGGGGTTAAACAGGGACACAGTGCAGGGGTTAAACAGGGGCACAATGCAGGGGTTAAACAGGGACACAGTGCAGGGGGTTAAACAGGGGCACAATGCAGGGGTTAAACAGGGACACAGTGCAGGGGTTAAACAGGGGCACAATGCAGGGGTTAAACAGGGACACAGTGCAGGGGTTAAACAGGGGCACAGTGCAAGGGGTTAAACAGGGGCACAGTGCAAGGGGTTAAACAGGGGCACAGTGCAGGGGTTAAACAGGGGGCACAGTGCATAGAGTTAAACAGGGGCACAGTGCAGGGAGTTAAACAGGGGGCACAGTGCATAGAGTTAAACAGGGGCACAATGCAGGGGTTAAACAGGGATATAGTACGGGGAGTTAAACAGGGGCACAGTGCAGAGGGTTAAACAGGGGCATAATGCAGGGGATTAAACAGGGGCATAGTGCAGAGGGTTAAACAGGGGCATAGTGCAGAGGGTTAAACAGGGGCATAGTGCAGGGGATTAAACAGGGGCACAGTGCAGAGGGTTAAACAGGGGCACAGTGCAGAGGGTTAAACAGGGGCACAGTGCAGAGGGTTAAACAGGGGCACAGTGCAGAGGGTTAAACAGGGGCACAGTGCAGAGGGTTAAACAGGGGCACAGTGCAGAGGATTAAACAGGGGCACAGTGCAGAGGGTTAAACAGGGGCACAGTGCAGAGGGTTAAACAGGGGCACAGTGCAGAGGGTTAAACAGGGGCACAGTGCAGAGGGTTAAACAGGGGCACAGTGCAGAGGATTAAACAGGGGCACAGTGCAGAGGGTTAAACAGGGGCACAGTGCAGAGGGTTAAACAGGGGCACAGTGCAGAGGGTTAAACAGGGGCACAGTGCAGAGGGTTAAACAGGGGCACAGTGCAGAGGGTTAAACAGGGGCACAGTGCAGAGGATTAAACAGGGGCACAGTGCAGAGGGTTAAACAGGGGCACAGTGCAGAGGGTTAAACAGGGGCACAGTGCAGAGGGTTAAACAGGGGCACAGTGCAGAGGGTTAAACAGGGGCACAGTGCAGAGGATTAAACAGGGGCACAGTGCAGAGGGTTAAACAGGGGCACAGTGCAGAGGGTTAAACAGGGGCACAGTGCAGAGGGTTAAACAGGGGCACAGTGCAGGGGTTAAACAGGGGCACAGTGCAGAGGGTTAAACAGGGGCACAGTGCAGAGGATTAAACAGGGGCACAGTGCAGAGGGTTAAACAGGGGCACAGTGCAGAGGGTTAAACAGGGGCACAGTGCAGAGGGTTAAACAGGGGCACAGTGCAGAGGGTTAAACAGGGGCATAGTGCAGGGGATTAAACAGGGGCACAGTGCAGAGGGTTAAACAGGGGCATAGTGCAGAGTGATAAAGGATATTTCTTTATTCTAATGTAACCATTGAGGAAAATTTCACTTTGATCTTTTGAATATTTCACTTTGATTATTTATGTTATATATGATAGATGTGAAGTATTGTTTAATACACAGCTAAGCAGGCCAGGTTGGGGGGGGATTAAGTTAGGTTTGTTGTTCTTGAGGTACAGTAGAAACATGTACATCTTTTGTATTGTGGTTTTTAAGCCAGATTAGGATTGAATTGGTTTAATTTTTCTTCGAGAGCTTGAACTGCATATGTGTAATTTTCTGTAGTACACTTGGTTGAGCACTCTTCATACATTGTTCACAGTTTGTTTACAAAATTAACGGTAGCTCGGTAATTGTATGAATGAACTATGTTGTTTACCCTGTTGCATGCCCTGTGTATATGTCTTCTTTCTTGTAGAAGTGTTTGGAATTTGTATCTTAAAAAGCTTGGATAATATAATTTATCATATGTTTAATATCTCTATTCCTTTTTATTTACTTACAAACCCATTTAATAGTAACATTTGTGTTATAAATTTTCAGTAGTTTATGAAATATTACCCCAAAAGTACATTTATTTATGAATGTTTTGTCTGTTGTACACTTATATCATCCTAATGATAAATAAGCCAATGATGCTTTCATAAATTAATATTTTATAATACGTTATCAAATGCACTATATATTTTTAGGAAGGGCTTTGGCTCCAATCTAGTTCGTCGAGTGAGAAAAGCCGGGACTGAGCTCATCAACAAAGTGCCTCGGGTAAGTTAAAAAACTTAAACAGTTATGAAGACCAAACCACACACCAGAAGATGAGAAGACGACGGCGTTTTGGTCCGTCCTGAACCATTATCAAGTCGATTGTTTACCCCACACAATCAACTTGATAATGGTCCAGGACGGACCGAACGTCATCGTGTCATGTCATCTGGTTTAGCCTTCATTTCTTCAGCCACGTTATTGCAACTCATCGTCTGCACTTACACAGTTATGCATGTGAGGTACAGTAATTTGTTTTTGCTTATTAAGTCTTTGCAGATATGACCTGCTTCCTTCATTCATAGTTTCCTTATGTGATACCTAGGGAGGTCTCCGATTTATGTACTTATGACTTGGGAACATCTAGACTTACGGACAATTTCAAAATCCTCATTTAGGCCCTGATGTCCTACTGTACAAACTAAATCTAAAGTCCACACATAATGAAAAGTGCTTAAAATGCAGTTCCTTCATTGAGGAACGAGTCTCAATGGCTGATAACATTAAATAGCATATGGTTGGTTTACCTGTGCCTATGCATTATCACCTTTTACTGCCTCTTTGCACATCAAAAAGCATAAAATGAAACAAGCAAAATAGTTCTGTAATTTAAAGTAAATAAGTTTATATCACCTAAGGGGATTATTTACAGTATATATATATACTGTACTGTATATCCCCTTAGATGACACTAGGGGATATATATAGGACATTTTTAATGCAGTTTAGATTTCCTTTATGCACATTAATTTATTTTAAAATGTTACCTGTTTACTACTATTTCAAAGTTATTGAAAATTTGATGATAAAAATGAATTTTCTAATCATATGCTTTCGACTCAGACTGGTCGTTCAAGGTCTCGTGGCCGTGAAGAAGGAGGAGACAGTCCAGATTCCTCATCACTGGGGTCTTCATCACATGCCAATGATTCTCTAGATTCTGGCTCCGAGACTCGTCGATCATCACCCAATCTGCCACCTTCACCATCACATGAAGGGGAGGGTGGGGAACTAAGAACAACAAGAAATGGACAAACACCAAATCATTATAGAAAAAGTCTACCCCCAGCCATGACTGATTCTTATGTCTCCCAAATTCTCAGGTATGGGGTCTCATTATATTCATGCAAGTCACTCGGATTAGGATGTGATGTAATTATACTTTACATACTTAAATACTTCAAGTGGATGGCCTGTAGGAGAGGTTTTACAGTACTTCATAACCTGTCAGTTTTGTATGCTGATTAAACCACACACCAGAAGGTGAGGAGACGACGAAATTTCGGTCCGTCCTGGACCATTATCGACTTAATAATGGTCCAGAACGGAGCGAAACGTTGTCCTCTCCTCTTCTTCTGGTGTGTGGTTTCATCATCATATCTTCAGTCACGTTATTGTGACTCATCGTTTGCATTCAGCTTTGTACCGTGTACATTATTATACACATAATGATATGTTCCTATCAGTAGGTCATTATTCTCAACCCTACATACAGTATATTAAATTGATATTATTTGTATTATGATAGATTTATTCCTTCATTACGCCAGTAAAAAGTAGCAATAATTTATAGTATATATTTCACTTAATACACCACCACTACTACCACTACTCGAGGACGAACAGGTGCTGATACCAGACTGGTGGCGACACGGCGGGGAACCTTCCTAATTGTACTCACCTAATTGTGCTTGCGGGGGTTGAGCTTTGGCTCTTTGGTCCCGCCTCTCAACTGTCAATCAACTGGTGTACAGATTCCTGAGCCTACTGGGCTCTATCATATCTACATTTGAAACTGTGTATGGAGTCAGCCTCCACCACATCACTTCCTAGTGCATTCCATTTATTAACTACTCTGACACTGAAAAAATTCTTTCTAACGTCTCTGTGGCTCATCTGGGTACTAAGTTTCCACCTGTGTCCCCTTGTTCGTGTCCCACCCGTGCTGAAGAGTTTGTCTTTGTCCACCCTGTCAATTCCCCTGAGAATTTTGTAGGTGGTTATCATGTCTCCCCTTACTCTTCTGTTTTCCAGGGATGTGAGGTTCAGCTCCTTTAGCCTTTCCTCGTAGCTCAATCCTCTCAGTTCCGGGACGAGCCTGGTGGCATACCGCTGAATCTTCTCTAACTTTGTCTTGTGTTTAACTAGGTATGGACTCCAGGCTGGAGCTGCATACTCCAGGATTGGTCTTACATAAGTGGTATACAGGGTTCTGAAAGATTCCTTACACAAGTTTCTGAAGGCAGTTCTTATGTTGGCCAGTCTAGCATATGCCGCTGATGATATTCTTTTGATGTGGGCCTCTGGGGACAGGTTCGGTGTGATATCAACCCCCAGATCCTTCTCTCTATTTGACTCTTGCAGGATTTCCCCTCCCAGATGATACCTTGTGTTCAGCCTCCTGCTCCCTTCGCCTAATTTCATCACCTTACACTTTCCCGAGTTGAACTTTAGCAGCCATTTTCTAGACCATTCCTCCAGTTTATCCAGGTCATCCTGTTGTCTCTGTCTATCTTCATCCGTCTTGATTCTTCTCATAATTTTTGCATCATCAGCAAACATCGAGAGGAATGAGTCTATACCCTCTGGAAGATCGTTCACATATATTAGAAACAGGATGGGTCCAAGTACTGAGCCCTGTGGGACTCCGCTGGTGACATCTCGCCACTCTGATGTCTCCCCCCTCACCGTTACTCGCCGTTTCCTGTTCCTTAAGTACTCCCTTATCCACTGGAGCACCTTCCCTTTTACTCCTGCCTGTTGCTCCAACTTTTTTAACAGCCTTTTATGGGGTACTGTGTCAAAGAGGTACTGTGTCAATATTGCTTTATGGGATTTGTTAAAATCCTATACAGTACTGTAATTAGCTAAGTGTATTTACAGGATGAAAGCTATGCTCATGGTGTCTCATCTTCCCAGTACTCTTTGTCGTATAATGTTTTGAAACTACTGACAGTTTTGTCCTCCACCACCTTCTCACTTAACTTGTTCCAATCATATACCACAATTTTGCTAAAGAAAACTTCTAATATTTTTTTTTGGCACTTTTGTTTTCTTAGCTTGAATCTGTGTCCTCCTGTTCTTGAAGTTGCTGGTTTCAGGAATTCCTCTTTGCCAATTTGGTCGATTCCTGTTACAGTATTATTATGTAAGTGGTGATCATATCACCTCTTTTTCTTCTGTCTTCTAGCGTTTGCGCATAAATGCCTCTAAGCCTCTCCTCATAATTCCTGTTTTGCATTTCTGGAAGCCATTTTGTTGCATACCTTTGCACCTTTTCCAGTTTATTGATGTGCTTCTTGAGATATGGGCACCATACAACTGCTGCATATTCCAGTCAACCTTGTGGTGATTCCAGAGACTGCTGTTTGTATCCCTGTCTATGACCATGCCTATATTATTAACATTAACATTCAATGTAATGTTGCTATATTTGTGTATAGATTACTAATCATTCAAAATAATGGGTTGAGGATTTTAATGTCCCTTTCTGATCAACCCCTCAGTTGCTGTCCAAGCCAGCAGCTAGAGGGTGTTCCGATGGCAAGGTCTTATCACCTCCGCTCTTGAAATAGGCTCGTGCCTGACGCGGGATTAACCTTATACCCAGGCCTATCATACTTCAATTAGATCTAGGGTATGATCCTAAAACCCCCATGATGTAAAATTTCAAGCACCAGTAATTTACTGAATGAGGGACACAAACTCAAGTACTGTAAAGTATAAATTTATAATATTACAACTTAAGAATTATTATATACAAAAATCTCCACTGGGCAACTACTTAAATCTACAATATAATATAATTCACTGTATGGCTTGTTACAGTATCTTGTCTACTCAGATATTATCAAATAAGTACAGAACAAAAAGACTACAACAACTTAACTAATAAAAGATCCTTCCTGTTCCATTTCCTCACCGCCACTGTGGCGATCTCCACTTACCCGCCTCTAAGACACCCTTTCACAGAGTTACCAACCACCTGATAGAACTTTTAACTAACCCACAACATACAGAAGTAACCACTCCCAAACATATGCGATCATAAAATTTCACTATTATACACATTCTAGAATAATGATAACCCTAATATATAATTAACTAATAAATATAATAGCATTCTCAGAAATACACAAACTGGCAACACACAACCACCCGACCGACACACTGCTCTCTTCACATGAATGATATGTCTCTTAGACCCATTCACTCAACAGGCAAGCTCATGATCACACTCATGCAATGTAATACAATATACAATATGCGTTAAAAGGCATAGCATCCCAAAAGTTGAAAAAATTACAAAATATTTTTATTAAGTCTTTATTTTGATTCACAGAGGATCAGTATCTTCAGAGGACGTGGGAAGTGTGCGATCAGGTGATGCTAGTGACAGTCATCAGGATGACTCATTGTCCACTGTGACGGCTGGTAGTGGAACTGCTGAACTTAGTCGTGCTGGTTCACGGCGCCCGGTATACCTCCTCGAGGATTCAGATTCCATACCTACAAGAGATGTGGGACCTGAACCTCTAGAAGATAACCAGGTAGGAGATTTGTATTTTAATATCTCTGTTTCTAATGATGCTATGGTGAAATGAAGATATTAAGGTTGTGAGCATTATAAATTGTATTCTCTTTTTTATGTATATCTGTGATGCTTTCTTGTACCAAGAAAGGATTTGGCATCTCAATTTCAGTAATATTGGTTGTCAACTAAACAGTTTAAACTTTTGTACTTTTTGTCTTGTGTATCGTCCTTTGCAATTCAGGAGGTATTGCAGCTGTCACCTACACCTTCCATGAATAATCTTTAATCTCACTTGACACTTGTATTTACTTGTGTATTTTTCCAGAGTCGAGGCCGAGCGTCAATTCGCAGTACATCCTCTGCATCACTAAGCCAGCAGGTGATAAACAGGTATAGAAATTTGTTGCATTTTATGTCAACTATTAAGTCTTTCGTGACTAGCTCTAATACAGTTCTGGTCTTTGCTGTTTGTAATGAATATTTAATATGTGTACCATGTTTTCTCACTTGTCATATCTGCGCATACTGTCTTTTCAGCCTTTTCTTCACTATACATTAAGATTTACACACACATTTTCCTTTACTGCTATATTAGTATCCATTCATTCAACATGAATTCATCAGAACACACAGAAATCACAACTGCGTGATGCATCAAATGATTAGCTCAGTCGGTAAGCTCAGTCGATTAAGGCAGCGTCTGGGATGCTCTCGGACGCAGGTTCGAATCCTCGTCACGGCCCTTGTGGATTTGTTCATGAATTCATCGGTAAACAGAATCATCAATCGTTTGGGCTTTGGATTGTTCGCGCACTAATTTTCTGGCTTGAGCCACTTGTGGCTCCCTGAAGCTACCATTTCTGATATCAGTGCCATCTTCTAAGTGCCATCAGTTGTGGAGCTCTCTGGCCTACTGGGGACCCAATGCCAGAATCTGCTTCCCTGACAGAGGCACAGGGAGCTGACACATAAGTTATTCATTTATGCCACCATCAAGAAAGGTACCCAGAAAGTCAGTGAGTCAAAACAAATGACAGTTGGCTGCCTCTGAGACCTGCAGGCTTGAAAATGGATATACAACTCCCTAAGCTATATAAACATACAATCGAAAATGTTACAAAACTAGCACCCACTCGTTAGCTCCACCCCTTTGTTTGAGGGAAGGAGGTGGAGGGGGCAGGTCACAGTTCACAGGTCGCTGTCAGTTCTCCTCGGATGTAATTACCTAAATGTGTGTGTGCCGGGTCTACCACCGTCGCTCTGGCCCATGTTTTTCTCGGGTGTTGTTTTGCCTTGGTGGCTGTTCCTTGCACATTTGTGCAAATGGGCCAGGAGTTTAATGGACTTGGAGCTGCATGTGTTCATGGTTTTCTTTCCTGGGTAATCCCTTGCACTGCCAGAGTTTTCTTCCCTGGAATGTTCAGGGTATGTTCCTTTAGAGGTTTACTTCTGGGGTCTTTGGCTGCTGTCTTTTCCCCAGTTGGAGCATCTTGGCTGGCGTAGTTCACTAAGTTACATGCAGGCTGCACTTCAGCATGCCAAGGTAGCTTTTCCCAGCCATCTAGCCAAGCTGGGTTTATTTACATAACGCTTTTTGATAGAATTGTCATCCAGACTTATGTGGAAATAAACATTCTTCCTTATTAAGACTACTCAATAGCTCAGTCGATAGAGTTTTGGCCTCACAATCGTGGGGTCCACAGTTCGAGTCTTATAGAGCCCAGGTGAATGGAATTTTTTGATAGTACAGTAGAACCTCGAGTGACGACTGCCTCAAATGGCGACCATTTTGGGCAACGAACGTTAACGTGGTGTTAACGTTATTCGAACAAGTGGTCGCCTAACGAGACGAATAGTTTGAATAACGTTAACACCACATGGTGGGGTCGGGTACTGCTTCTCGCACACTCGAACGCCTCCGATGATGCAAATAAATTATTTTTCTTTGATTAACCCTTAAAGTGCGCATCACGTCATATGACGTGCTGGACGTTGTACCAGTAAACTGCGCATCACGTCATACGATGTGTTGGAGTACTACGCAAGATTTAAACAGCCCGCGGATACACGGGGTTCACCACACCTTCATCAGGGCTCTTGTAAACAGACGCCATTTTTAAAAAAAATCGTGGGCCAAACTCCCGGGTGTTATTGGCCTCAGTATTGAGTGAGCAACCAAGCCTGACGCACGCAGCATGAGCTAACAGCACTGCTGTTCAGCTTGTGACCACAGCATCGCCTAAAAATGCCAAATTATACTTGTTCATGCTATTATGTAGCGATGATATTATTACAGAAGACCCCTGACTGTGATAAAACTGACCAGGGTTCTGATAATAGCAGGATTGTGGTGATATTTAGCGCTGTGCGCCATGGAAGGAGGTGTAATGCTGTAGGAGGGAGGGTGGTGGCGATGTCTTTTGACTGTGTGTAATTACCGGCCACCTTTTATTGACTGCACTCAGCATACCAGCTTAGTGGTTCGCTATGGTGAACACAAATGTAGATACTTATATATAACATGTGTATAGAGGGTATAAACAGCAAGAGAAGGTTTGGAGCCGCCATTTTGGTGAGAGCGGTGGCGTCGTCTGCACGACGCCACCGTGCAGACGACGGTGTTGTTTACTGGTTACCACGATGGTCTTTGGGCACCATATCAGTTTATTTGTACAAGTATGATGAATAAAACAGGTAGATATTTATATATAATGTGTGTATATAGCGTAATAACACCACACAGTATTGTTGGAGGAGAAATATTAGTGTGTCTGGCCTTGAGGGCGGCCGCCGATCAGCTGACTGTGTGAGTAGCCACATCTCTGTGCCTTTACTCATCATACAAGCTTAGATGTACAGTTATGGTGAACAAAACATGTAGATACTTATATATAACGTCTGTATATAAAATATATAGTGTAATAACACCACACAGTATTGTTGGAGGAGAAATATTAGTGCGTCTGACCTTGAGGGCGGCCGCCGATCAGCTGACTGTGTGAGTAGCCACATCTCTGTGCCTTTACTCACCATACAAGCTTAGATGTACAGTTATGGTGAACAAAACATGTAGATACTTATATATAACGTCTGTATATAGTGAATTATAGCAAAAACATTATTGTGGGAGGAGAATGTGGGTGAGTCAGATGACAGGAGGGAGGGCGGGAGTGGCTGGCTGGTACACGGCGGTCACTCCTCATTACTTTTTGACTCATAATAGCTACTTAGTGGTTCGTTATAGTGAACAAAACATGCAAATACTTATATATAACCTGTGCTTATAGTGTAATAACCGACAAAGTATTTGTTCACTGATTGATGAACGTAATTGAATCAACAATATGCACACCATATTTTTGAGTACAGCAATGATTCACTCATTTTATTATATAAATATATCAAACTACACACTATTGAATAATATTACAGCAAAAAAAGTATGAAAAATTAATCAGAGACATTGAAATAATTCGGTAATTATCTCTTTGTGGCAACTCTGGCCTGACAGCTTGCGAGCAACAGACCGCCTGGGACGCATGCTGAGTCAGCGCCTATAATTTGCCAGACTTCCCCGCCCTATAGCGGGCAATATATGCCACTTACGATTTTTTTATTATTTTTCCCGTGATCAGTGAACACAAATTAACAGGTTAGAAAGAAAAAATAATTTTTTTTTTTTTCAAAATGACATGCGCCTGTGGGGATGGCAGGATATTAGACCCCGAGCATGTTAAGGGTTAAAGATGCTATTGATGCTGGAATGTTGCAAAGCATTGACTTTTTGTAGAAAAATGAAATTAACTTTTTTAAAGAAAGGACAAATGTCAAAAAAGTTCGTATGGTGTTTGTCAGGTAGGCTGCTCCATGTTTCTTATAAAAAAAAAAGAAAAACATTAAAATAAGAAAAATGAAGAATTTTGAAAAACAGAACAAATTTCAAAAAACCAGCGTTGAATGTAATGAAACGCAATTTTCTAGGTGAGCCTCGGAGGCTCCCTGGAGCTTATCGGGCTAATGTATGTTATGTTAGACCGGGACATTAGCTATGGAGTTCAGACCTACCAGGGACCAGCGGCAGAACCTGGCCCCTTCAGAGAGGTTTCAGGGAGCAATGGCCCTGGAAAACCCCATATGGTTGGGGTTTTTTCTTATTTGCCATCGACCGGGGTTAGGCATCCAGAAAGGTAGGTGTAACAAAACAAACCCCACATGGTAAGAAACTACAACAAAACCGAACAGAGAGGTAGAAAACTCCCTACAATCCCAAGGAAAACAATCAGACAATCAATTTACTGCCGCGCCAGTCGTCCGCGCAGCCCTTCCCTCCCCGGGAGGGGGAGGGGGGGCCCCGGACCTCACCACGCCGGCTGCCTTCAGTTCGGAAACTAGGCTTCAACCAACGCGAAAAATCCCGCCGACCGGATGGGAGGGAGGGTAGCCAGGGAGCCTCCGGGGCTCACCCAGAAAATAGCGTTTCATTACATTCAACGCTGGTTTTCTGTGGGGAGCTCCTACAGCTTCCTGGAGCTACATACCCAAAGAGAAGGAAAAAGGGGACTTACCCGGGAGGCGGCGGCCACAAACTCCTCAATGCAAAGTTGAGACAACTGGCTGCAACCTGCGACCCAAAGCAACACAAGAACGCCGAGGAGCAGGGACGTTCACCAAGTAACGGGCGGCCAAGACCCTGCTCGACTTCCAAAATCCACACACCCGAATATGTGCCCAAGACATATTACCAAACACGGCAGCCAAAGCCGCAAACTTCCTAACATCATGGGCGCGAGGTTAGACCGCAGGCTGGCTAGACTTAATAACCCTGCGGACAACCTGGGAGACCCGAGCCCTGGAACAGGGAACGAGGGAAACCGGATCAACCCAAAGTGCGTCCCCAGCCACCCCGGCTGAAGCGCGCAGGTAACGGCGAAGTGCTGCAACTGGACACAACACATGATGCACCCCCGGTCGAACCAACCAAGCATCAATGACCCACGGACCCCTCTGGAAAGCAGTCGTCTCGTTCTTCGCCAGAAAAGATGGAGAAGGCTGCAAATGGACAAACCTACCCCCCAGGACCAAAAGAACAGAAACCGCTGCACCGGAGGAGAGCATGAAGCTCCCCTACCTGGCCCCCAGAGGCCAATGCCAACAAAAACAAAGCCTTGGAAAACAATAAGGAACCGAAGGGGCCATCACAAACCGAGGAGAGGAAAGATAGGAGAGCACCCTGTCCAAGGACCAGGATGGCTCAGGAGGCGCATGAGCAGGCCGGAGGTGAAACTTACCACGGGAAAGCTTACGAAACGGGGCGGATGTGTCGTCCACCCCGAAAGCTAGCTTGAGCGGCTCCGCCAGCGCCGCACGATACGAGGCGACAGTATTAGGCA